CCTGGCCAGCCTTACCCGAGCGCTCACCCGGAGAGGAGAGCAGAGCTACATGGTCAGATGCCCGCTCCTTGCAGACAGACATTCCCCCCACGCTGCAGGTTACGAAGCTGGAGCCCCTGTACATTGCCCTGGATCCAGGTCTGCACGTGCCCACACAGAGAAGTAACAGAAAGATGCCTCCTGGATCTGACAGGAACACCACAGCATCAGCACTTTAGGGAAAAAAAAAAACCATCCTGTGCATGGCAATTCCCTGAAGCCAAGTGAAATGTGCCACAGCACGCTTCTGAGGGACTTCACGGGGCTGGGAAAACAGCCAATATGCAACATTTCCCTAGAAAAGCTCCCTTGCTGTAGGGAGTAGGGCCTTTCCATTCATTTCAGGGTGTCCTCTGGCATGGGTTTGTGTCAGCCTTACAACCAAAGAGCACTGACCTTTTATCTGTTTTAAGGTTATTAGTACAATGAAGTCCAAACCTCACAATGGAAAGTCAGCACTTACTCTGAAACAAAGGGGGTACATTGCGAGTGAAAAGCAAGGAAACAACAGAAAGTTGTAGGGATGGAAGCTGCAGGAGAAAGGCAGTTCAGCTGTGCTTCAGGCAGCGTAACCGCTGCTCGTCAGAGACTGCTCCGCGCTGCGCCAGCCACGAGACGCCATCCTGTGGTCACCCACATCGCCAGGAGCTTCTCCTCTCTGGGCTGAAGCACCCAACCCAGTTACAAGTGCCTCGTGCATCCTCGTGCTCATCCTCAGTCCTGTATTAACTAGGCTCCTTTAATGCAAGGCAAGGCTGAAAAACTTCAGATGGTCTCCAAAACACCTAATAAGCCACGATAAACGCAAGCTGTAAGATGTGGCCGTGGCAGGGCCGGTTTGCTCTCTGCATGCACTTATACCTCAGCATGAACCTCCTGTTGGCAACAAGGCTGACCATGACAGTGCCCAGGAGAACCATCGCCGTCTCCACCCCAGGCAGGAGGAGGACCAGCCCTGCCCTCCCTCTCCTTCCTGCCGGGGGACATTCCTTCTCCTGCTCTGCTGTGGTGCTCTCTCTACAGTTCTTTGCCCCAGCAAGTACCCCATGCTCTCCCACTGTGCCCACAGCCTTTTGGGCATCTCCATCCCACTCCTACAACCCCCAGTTCCCCTCTCATTTATCACAGAATCACAGAAGGGTTTGCGGTGGAAGGGAGCTTAAAGATAATCCATTTCCAACCCCCTGCCCTGGGCGGGGACACCTCCCACCAGACCAGGTTGCTCAAGTCCAGGCTGGATGGGGCTTTGAGCACCTCCAGGGATGGGGCCTCCACAGCTTCTCTGGGCAACCTGGGCCAGGGTCTCAATACCCTCACAGCAAACAATTTCTTCCTAATATCTAACCTAAATCTCCCCTCTTTCAGTTTAAAACCGTTCCCCCTTGCCCTATGGCTCCCCTCCCTGATCCAGAGTCCCTCCCCATCTCTCCTGGAGCCCCTTTAGGGACTGGAAGGGGTTCTAAGGTCTCCCCAGAGATCTTATATCTTATCCCCTCCCCCCCGTGAAGTTCAGCCCACAGATGCCTGGGACATACCCTGACGTTGCATGGAAGCTGGCGATTCTCAACAGCAACTACGCTGCTAAAGACACAAAGCTGAGCATCCAGCCATGCTTTGGATGGCCAACAAGCACATCTCTGACCTTCGAGGCTGATGCCAACTCAGCATAAACGGGGCAGGAGGGAAGCTGTGAAGGTAGAAGAAGCTGTGAATGCAGATCCAGGTAGCCCTCCATACCCCTCCTTGTTGACCAACTGGCCCACCTACCCCTGCTGCCTCACATTGCTCATGCTGCTGGCTCCTAATACAGGAGAGGAAAACAAATCAGGAAAAAGAAGAAAAGAAAGAAGTGACCAGCAGCAATAACAGTCCTCAAAAGGCAAACGTTTCCTATTACAGGGCTGGCTCTTTCAGGCACTTTGATGTCCCTTCTCCCACACAGAGCTGTTTCTTTCATAGCCTGTTCCTGCACACAAGCACAATATTACACGTATTATACATCGCACATCCCCAGCTCTTATTTAAAGCATGTTTGTCCCAACTCACTGTACTTTCTTCTCCATATCATTTTTCAAACCAGTTCTCATACATCATAGGCACAGCAGCATTTTTATTCTAGCTTCCCCTTTCACATTTATTTTTCTTACAAATTCTTGGAGGTTCTGGTCATAAGTAGAGAAGTGTTGACACTTCACTAGGCTTGACACTGAGTCACTAAAGTCCATGGCAGTAGCTGAATTTTTCCAAAATTTTAGGGGCTTGTAGAGCAAAGGATTTACTTTGTCAGAGGTCAGATACAACATTTAGGTTCAGATTCTGGGGCCAGTCTTTTTTTCAGTGGTGCCCAGGGACAGGACAAGAGGGAACGGGCACAAACTTGAACATAAGAAGTTCCATCTAAACATGAGGAGGAACTTCTTTCCTGTGAGGGTGGCAGAGCCCTGGCAGAGGCTGCCCAGGGAAGTGGTGGAGTCTCCTTCTCTGGAGACATTCAAACCCCACCTGGACACGTTCCTGTGGGACCTGCTCTGGGTGGACCTGCTCTGGGAGGGGGTTGGACTAGATGATCTCCAGAGGTCCCTTCCAACCCCATAGCATTCCATGATTCTGGACCAGTTACCTGGAGTTATTTACAGTTTTTGATAGCACCTGCTTCCTACCTGTGTATTACAGAGCCAAACTTTTTCATACCAAAACAGACTGCTGACCATGCACTGCATTGATAAACACAGCAGTTCTCATGGCAAATTTAAATTGCAAATTATTTAGAGCAAGGAAAAAAAAAATCTTATTTGTTCTAGCACAATAAGGTTTTCATAATCTGCCTTATAAACTACCCCAACACAAATAATAGCCTGGCGCTTGCTTCACTGCCGGGAAAGTCCACAAGTGGTGGGGACCGTGGCAGAACGGGGAGGTTTCTGTAGGCAATGCAAGGGTTAATGCAGGCATCTTCTGAGAAAACAAATGCCTGTCACTCCCTCCAAAATTCACTCAACTCACGGTTTTAAATATGAGATACTTTTGCATAAACTATATCCAAATGCCTGGTGGAATTCAAACACAATGGCTAATTCTCCCAGAAGACACACATTGTGTTATCTGACAAATAACCAAAACATCCCCAAATTCTGCTATACCCCAAAATGAGAGACATGCAACAGTCCACAGAATCCCCCAGGAATTTTACCACAGCTATTTACTAAGACAGACAACCTATGGTAATTAACATCTAATAATAATTGTGTTTGTATAAAAATCTCATGGCCCTCAGAAATAAGGGAGACTAAAGGCATTAGAGAGATTATACAGTGCAAGACTGTATAATATGTATATAATATATATAGAAATACACATATTTTTGGACAGAAAGGAACTGCCAGACAGCCTGGTGTCACTGTCACCACTCGTTGAAGTCACAGGGGGTCATTACTGCAAACTGGTGTCCAGTTTGTATAGCTTCAGAAATAATTCTTGGCCTTTTCTCCAAAAAAGCAAAGGGAACAGTCCTATGGCTTCATGAAATACTTGAACCCATGTTAACACAAAGCTTTTTTTTTTTTAATTATGAGGTTACCAGGAATATTATATGCAGATGAAATTCCTCCAGGAAAAACAAGTTCTCATCTCTGTTGTCACACAACAGATTAGCCGGGCCTAGAGATAAGAATGTGAGTATTTGCAAAAAAAAAAGAAAAAAATCATTTCCCAAGACTAGTCTATTGTGTTGGTGCACCGGAACACAGGAGCCCCAAATCCACCTAAGCCTGCTCAAGTTCACCTCCACATACAGCCCCCAGCGTGGCTCTGGGCAGAGACATGTGCCAGGCTGAAGCCTCACATTTTTTAAAATGTTTTTAGCATTTTGAGTTGTTAAAATGACTACTCTTATTTTTATCGTGACTTAATAAAAAAAAAAAAAAAAAAAACAAACCCCACTTTAGTGCTTTCATACAGTATAGCTTTCCTTGTGCATTTCAAGAAGGAGTTCCCCAATAAAGTTTGCAGGATTCAGATTTACATCCTCACTCACTGACAGTTTAATTACTTTCATTGTAGGAGAAAGTATTTAATCACATACAGTCTGAAAAGCAGCCCCTAAAATACAGGCTTTTGGGCCCACAATCCCCAATTTGAAATTCAATGAAGGAGTCCGGAACAGGCATACTGTGATCCATTTCCTGATTCAGAATACTTGATATTATCAAAACAGGAAGAGTTCCACAGCTGACACACACATTTTTCTACACCATTGGTAAAATCCTTCCAGCTTTTTAAGGCCACAAAAGGAGGATTTCGGCACACTTCAGATATGATCTAAAGGCAGTGCTAGTCAACAAGCCCCACACAGACCAACATCGTAATGCAGTGCTAATTAACAGAGTAAAAATTAAATTGTCCATCTAAAATGCTGCTTGAGTTATGCTGGGATTTGTTGGTATTTTAACTTTCTCCTCAACAGTTACAACACTAAAGGTTAAGTAGTCACTGGTGATTCTCAGCAATAGGTGAGCATTAATGGTTCCTTATTTAAGAAAAGGAGGGGAAGGAAAAACTAAAAGGAATTCTCAGACACTCCTCCTGGCATCCTGCTTGTGTTCAGCACAAATAATAAAAAAACCCAGTTGTTAAGTGTAAGTATGATCAGTTACACGCTAAAGCTGACTCCCAGCACCAGCTGGCCACCTTCCCATCCCAAACTGGTATCTAACTCATCACAGACAAGACAGTTAACTCCAGAAACACAGCTTTTAGTCAGGGAACGCTGTACTAGTCTTTACACCCCAACAGATCCTGTGAGCGGCAGTGACTCACGCAGTGAAGTATCAGCTGTCAGAGTATTAAAAAATTCACGTTTTAAAATGAACAAGTGGCCTCACAGCTACGGGTGTGAAACAATAGGGTCCTAGATGGGACCTGTTACATTACACAACGACATTAATTGTGAAACAGACACAGTGTGTGTGCACATTATGTATGTATTTTATAAAAGAGCAATGTCTTCTGAAGAGCAGAGAGTAGCCAGAACACTAAAAATAAAAAATGCTGTAACAAGAGTGAATATTTGTGCGTTTGCTTTATGAAGCTTACATTCTAATGTTTACAAAGGCCAGCACTTATATAAGACTCTCCACTAACAAACAAATCTGGAATACATCAATTGTACAGGTAAGTCAGCCAAAAATAAGCAAATAGCTGTGCTCTTCTCGGTTTTAAGAAAGCATGCAATAGGTTTCCCCCTTCTGCCACCCCTTGTTCAGATTCCCAAATCACAGTACCAGTAACAGCATGGTATCATGAACCCGGGGCACAGGTAACAGGTCGAATTTTATCACAGACTCTTTATCAATAGTTTGCAAATGTAAAATCAGCCTTCTTTTAGCACCAAGAAGGCAGAGAAGATACAGGCATGAATAAAAAAATAATTAAGCAATTTAAGACACCAAAAATTCAAGAAATAGCACTGTGCATATACAAATAAAATTAACATTCAATACTGCAGAGCTCATTTAAAAATGGCACCAATGGACAATAGTTTACAATATGCACATTTATTTGAGGTGGGGAACTAACGCTCCACAGGTGAAAATGATAATACAAATAATAGTGCCACTGTTGGCCCATTATGGTACTACTTACAATTTAATGGAAACACTTTTAAAAATAATCTGGTATGTACAAATCTTCTGGAAACTCAACGGCTTCTTCGGAACAGGAAAAAAAAAACCAAACCCAAAACCTATGGTTTTCCCCCTCCCCCTTTTAGCCAGACAGTATTGCCAGAGATTGTGCTCACTTTTAAAGCACATAATCTTAAATTCAGTGCTATTTTCTTTCAAAAAGATCAGAAGTTGTACTTTTAGATAACAAAAGCATTTATGTTACAAACATTCAAAAATGGAAGCTTATGATTCTGGCAGACAATGTTGCGTATTAAATACAAACCAGCCAGCAATTACTGAACATAAAAAACTTATTCAATCATAAAAAAATACTATAATTCATCACCACAGACTTTTTACATAGTTATAAATAATAAATAGCATAACACAGTAGATTACAAACGGATTTATTTTGCCCCGTTAAAGTCTTTAAAAAGTAAAATATCTCTTGTCCTACCTCAGACCGACCAAGGTACTGTTATCAAGACTACTCACAGCTCAACTCCTTCGCCAAACAATGTGCAGAGCTCAATTCAGTCCAACCTCTTAAGTCTTTCCTTAGGAATCAAATATTCTCTTAGCTCTTTGTTCTCCACCAGCGAAGGCATCGACGCTGCAGGCAGTGGCAGGTGGGACTTGGGCAGCCCGTGGCACCTCGCGAGGGAGCAGAGGCTTGGGAAAGGAGCTCGGAGGGAAGCAGCAGGGAGGACAGGTTCTGGTAAGCACTCCATGGACAAGCTCTACACAAAGGACTTCTCCCTCCCTCCCTCCCTCCCACCCCTCCGGTTTACATTCCCTAATTCTGTAACAATGTCCCCTAAGGCACAAAAATACCTATGACCTCAATGCCACAGGAGACATCGATGGTGCCGTACGTGGTTCTCCTACACAGTAGTTTAAATAGCTTAGTTATCTGCACTCTATGTCTTAGATCGAGGCATGGGATTCATCTTCCTTGGCCAAATCGTGCTGAATATTGACCTCGTTTCATATAATCTGTAGGATAAAGGAACGGGGGAGAGAACTATGCAGCTATTTTAATCATGTTTGTAGACTATTATTTCTTCATTGATGGCAAAAGTGCCAGTCATGAGTTATTTTGCTGTGGGTTGGCTGGTTGTTTGCTTTTTTTTTTTTAAATAGAGTGAGATTTCCAGACCCACTGTGGTCTTCTGTAATAAAAATGACTAGCAGCACTAAGAAAAGATTATTTTTTTTCCTCCTTTCTGTAAGAGAATTTGAGGCTAGGGACTGAAACAAACCAAGGAGAATAGTTTTACGTGGTGATAGAAGTGCCAGAAAATAAATTAGTATTTTCAAATCCTTCCAAACCAAATATTTCCCTAGGCAGTGACCACGATAATGACAGAAGTATTTTCCTAAAAATTGCAACACCAATAGGTAGAAACCTATTCTCGGAATCAAAAAGTATACGCAAGTTCCTGAAAGCAAAAAAGTTAGTATAATCTGAGCAGACACCTTGTTTAAAAAATAAATTCACAAAACCAGACATGAATGTGGTTTACAACGTCCATTAAATGGATAAATCAAAATCACTGGAAAGTCGCCAAGGATTACAGTTACAATAATTTTTCCTTTGAATAATCCACGCGCTAATGGTTCAAGGATGAGAGTTCGTTTCTCTGTCCGAGTGTACAGCGAGGGAACAGCACAGCCAGACACTGACTCAGAAGGTTAAGTCACTTCGGTGAGAGATCATCCATCAAAATGAATGAAGAGCAGGAGTTGGAGCACGTTACAGGAGACTCTGTGGTTATGCTGCCTTTAGTCAGGGATTCGGAGGAAGAGCCAACGCTGCTGCTGCTTCCATCGAGAATATCTGAAGACAGGCTGGGGAGAGAGAAAAAGGTTATTTAGCAAGACAGGCACAATGACTTTGTGTACAGAGCTAAGGTACTTCTGCCTTTGTAGAAAAGATGTAGGAGACCTATACTACCACTCAGTCTTTTCTGTAAGACTGGCGGCCCTGAAGACTCCTTTTTTTCTCTAGCATGTTATATACATATTCATGCTCCTTATGGGAATGAGGAGCAGAATTTTATTACTTTTTTTTTTTTAACATGCAGAATAAATTATGACTCCAGTTAGAGAAAGGAGGTGAAAACTAATGAGAATGAAACCTTGAAAGGAAAGGCATAATAAGAATCTAATCAGCAATGCAGCAAAGACATCATTAATTAACTAGTATGTTCTTTAATGTTGCGCTACACAAAGCAAGATTTTGAAACCTATTTTTCCCTTGTAAGTAAGGAATTCCTGTTTGGATTTCCAAGTCTTGATACAAGATTCCAGAGGGCAAGCAAATTGATGCTTTTTTCAATTTAGCTGGAAGCAACACAAAAAAAAACCCCAACCAATTTCAAGGCACTTTCAAGGTAAACAAGTTATAGCGATATAGAGTTAATATTTTAGAATACTTAGTATCTGAGACTTGACAGAAAAGAACTCAGAAAAGAACATTAAAAAAACCTTTTTATGATCATAATACAGAAAGGAGACAGACACTAAAGATAATGAATGTATCAACACAAACCATGTAAGTGCAGGAACTATTCACACACATACTATATATGACCCCCACCTACAGCATACCCAAGTGATGAAGCATCTTTGAGGCAAAGCAACTTTGGTTACAAACGAACAGGGATTTGTAACAATTATATTCAGGATAAAAGTTTCGATACACAAAATCTAGGCTCAAGTCCGCCCAGGAATACTTATCAGAGGAGCAGGACCATTGTCACGCTATACCACAGGAATAGTTCCCAGTGATACACATACACAACCTATACACAGAGTATTTTTTCTGTAAAAAAGCAGAACAAAACCAGGAATCTTGTGATAAACACATATTCCCTGTTTTCAGCATTTCAGGGCACGTGAAATATTTTACCATGAACTGAGATCTGTCAGATGTGTAACATCTGGAGAAAGCATGTTGGTTGTTCCTTGAAAAAGTCTCTTTGGCTGACTTTCAGTTTCCATTTCACCTAAGGAAAATAGTGCAAAAAATCAAACTCACTTGAATCTCCACAACGCCCATTTAATATTTACCTATTGAAACAGAGGGGTTTGTCCCACAATAGAGCAAAGTTCCATCTGTAAATCTTCTAATTCAGCCAACCCAAGCACTTGGGTAAGACATTAATTTGATGTTAGCTGTTGTTTAACCATTGAGTCCATCCTTAATTTAACCAGTGCTTCAGCAGCATCTGAGGGGCTACAATGGTCTCAAAGACACAAAACAAGGCACTGGCTACTAAGAATACAATCAGTCAAAATAATCTAAAGCAAACTAATTACTGTTACTTAGCTTTAAGTAAGCATTTGAGATAAGGCAACTGACATAAGCCAAAATACAGACATTAAAATTCTTAGTGATTATGAAAGCAGGAGCAGTTCAGGGTATCACCTCCCTGCGTATAACATTGTGATACACATGTACACTTTTACGGAAGAGCTGAATAAAAAAAGAAACTGCCATGTGTATGCACTTCTACTTACTCATCATGGATCAGACTATCTTTGTACCTGTAATCATCTACTGACATTAAAAGATTAAACATGACGGGGAGAACTTGTATAATCTGCCCTGCGAATGAGCTGGCTCATTAATAGCTTCTCTACAATAGACACAGTGGAAGTATCATGAACTTGCCAATAACAAGCTTAGAGAAAAAAAAAAAACAAAAAAAAAACCCACCACCTCTCAGCTACAGTATATTTTAATTTTTAGTTTGGCAACAAAAACACACGAAAGAAATAATTTTTCTGGCATTTTACCTACACTTCACAGCAGTGGTGGTGTCAGTTTGAAGAGCTGGCAGAGGTTAAGCATTATACAAACCCAGTATATATTAATATGTTACGCAAAAGAATTTTACTACTGTTCATTTTATAGAAGACTGATAACTTCCCCCCCTAAAAAAATTTTTGTATCTCCATGGGGATACATTCACTTCTCTGAAGGAAAGGAGTAACAACTTCTATCAAGCAGAATGGGCAAAAAAACATTTCTAAAATACTCGGTCTTACACAAAAATGAAGAAAATCCAAACCACCAACATAGGTAACTCTTTTGTCACTCGAAATTTGACTGAGACAGATCTGCACCACTACAACACGTTGCAGTCTCCCAGCATTAATTCCCCAGAGCTGTGAAGTGTTCTTCAACACACTGCTTTCTTCCCTCCACATATTATGGGTGTCGATTTGTTAACCTGGCACATCTGAACACAAACCATAAAGCTAATGCTAAAATTCAGAAAATAACAGCATTATGTATTTAGGAAAATAAACTAGGTTCATTTAAATAGATTAGAAGTTTTGAAATTAAGTAACATTTTGAAAATGCCTTGATATTTCCAGTAAAAGAGGCAAATTCCTACTCCACACGTGCACATAGATAGGAAACACAGTACAAATATCTATTCCCAATTGATCCCTGAGCTTGATAAATTTTTGATAAATTCAATTTTTACGCCTCTAAAATTCATAGAAAGTAACAGGCAAGATAGAACCGGCATCCATGAGAAAACGTGTCTCTCTCCCCTGTCAATTCAATATAAATTAGACAATATTATTTATTTGATAGGAAAAGCAGTTCTGAAAAAAAACACAACCAATAAACAGTAACTCTCCTTGAAGGCTAAACATAATTCTTGTAAAATAAAAGGACATGCTTTTGGTGCAGTTTCAGAATGCCTATGTTAAAAAAAAAATACAGGAACAATAGCCAGAGGCACATTTATAAACATCTCAGTCTTACAGTTCTGCCATGAAAACTTGTTCTAAAGTATAATTTGAATATCCTTAACACAGAATACTTCCAGGAGAGAATGCACCTTTCCCCCTTCAGGAGGAAAGAGCACTGATCTATTCCATTCCTCTAAACACTCACCTTCTGAACTTTCAGAGTAAAAACAAACAATCAGTACTAAGTTTAGAAGATACTGCATGATAAGCAACATTCCTAAGATGATCTGAAGGGTGTGCACCATACAGTGGTACTCTTAGGAATGTCAGGGCTTACAAACATTCATAACATCTAATTTGATGCAGAAGAAAGTTTGCCTCTTTCAAGAAGTAGCTGCTTTCAAAGTTTTTCACTCTTGTGTTTTAGACTAGCTACTTTATAAGTTACAACTTGCAAATTCCAGTTCAGCGTGGATACAAGTGCATTATATTTACAGAACAGAAAAAACATGGATAAGAGATAAATGGATCCAGCTGCAAAACTACATCCATATTAAAACACCTGATGACGTAAATACACATACCTTTTCTTTTAATGGGGCCAAGAACACTGGGCCTGATACAGTTGATTGGACTTTGACTCCTCCTGCTAGAGAGAGAGAGAATACTCAGAGGCAAATCTGCAAAGGTTCCAGGTCTGAACACCACCATCAAATCAATACAATCACACGAAACGTTCTTTAAAACTATTCCTCCACAGCTGGAATGCTTAGAAAATATAAAATACATAGAAAACAAAGAAATGCTGCCTATTAGAACAGATTATCTGCCACACAACTTCATAGTAAATTTTCTAGGGTCTTCTTCTCTCAGTGTATCACATCCTCCCTTCACTCCATTTCTAAATTGTGTAATATTTACAGAAAATTTATATGCTGACAAAGTTAATAAAGTTCATTTGAAGTACCCAGGAGTTTCCCCACAAGTTATCAAGTCTAGTTGACACAAGATACTATAAGAGCACCCACTTAAAGCTACCATTGGTAAAGGCTGAACTTTAAGAGCATTGTTATGTGGCAATACTTCAGCCAGAAAAACCTAAAGTCTGTTTTAATGCTTTAACATCAGCTTTAACTAATCTTTGTGCTAACCTTCAAATTTAAGCCAATTTATACCTGTTACTTGCAGATGCTACTTACTTGGAGAATCGCCTTGTTGGACTGGGAATAGGGCTTGGAGGCAATCCATTACTGCTCACAAACATTTGCAATGATGGGGAAAAACATTGCTGCAGAAAAAGCCACATTATGATGCTTCAGAATTTTCTTTTAAATACCCAAGTGTTTCCCCCCCACCCTCCAAACAAAACATCCTCAGTTAAAGAAAAGCTAGTAACAGAATAAGGCAGAGATATCAAATACAGTCTTAAGAGGCATTGAAACTTAATTTGCAAATATATACTGGCTAATGCGATGCTGCTCAGATTAACCTAAAATGCAAACCCACAAGAAACCTGAAAATGAAACAGACACTATTTTCTAAATAAGACTTTTTTTTCTGTTCTTCCTGTTACATTTAGAAGCAGTAGTAGTCCTCAGGAATTACTTCTTTCAAGGGGCTTATTCAAGAAACAAGTTGAGTTTACTCAAAATACATCTGACCTGAAAACGTTAACACAATATTCCAGAGTAGGACAGAGCATTTAGCTCTATGGTTCTGCAGTGAATCTGAGCTTAGCCCATAGCTCAGCATAAAGACCTTTCTGTCAAGTTATCTACTACTGCTTTGTAGTTGTGATTCCAAAGTCACAGGACGAGTCTTATCCCAGGAACACCTTTATCCAGCACTGGTACGTGGCTGCTCCATGCAACATCGATACTAGTAGAGGCATGCAATAAAAATAGTAGCAGTACAAAAGCAAAACCACCAAAAAGGGTGAAAACAAGGTCAAGCAGCCCATTTTTAAATACAGTTGCCAGTTTCTCTGTGCTACACTTCAGTTTTACAGTCCTTGTTGGAAAAAGTAGCTTATTTTCTCCAAGATCCACCTCTTCCCTTTTCCCAGCAGGTGCGATCAGTTTTCAGTGCAAGTCCAGGGTCCCCGAGTCCTCCCTCGCAGTGAGTCTATGCCTTCCTTTCCAGAACCCACGGATGTATTTTTCATCCTCCTCACCTCACAGATTTGCAGCTTCTGGTCTTTGCCTACACTCTACACACACGATACATTCTGATTCTGGTGCTTCTTCCCCAGCATCCCCCCACTCATGCAGCTGAAGATCAGTCCAACTCTGATTACTCTAATGACCTCTTCCAGCTTCCACAGAACCAGAGCCCTAACCCGTCCAAACCTCGCACAAAGAACAGCAACTGAAAACACAACTGGCACACTGCTTAAGCTCTGCAGCTCTACGATGGTAAGCATCTGATTCTTAGAAATCAATAAAATGTGGGCTCGGATTGGAGGTTTTCTGTTGTTGTCTGGTTGTGTTTGTTTTTTTTTTAAACTATCAAACAATTTGTGAAGTTACACACATCTTCACAGTTCACCTTGGTCTAAAATTCTAAAATGTTCTTTCCATTTGGTGTTTCACTCATCCTACCTTTCCTATTCCTCTTGTCGGTGAAGGAGCAGGAGAAACTGGAATGAAGTCTATTCTCTTTGGGGAGGAAGATTTCTCAGACTTGTCCAAGTCATTGTCGCTCTGCAAATACAAGGTTTCCACCTTAAGACTGGCACAGGACATTACCTTAGAATCCAAGACACAGCCTTCTAATGGAAAGTCATCAGGCCAAATGCACAAAATAGCAAAGCAGATGAACTTAAGTTCTTCTTTTATTATTTTCACAGTTAATTCTGCTCTTTCCCTTAAACTCATCAGTTGAGTGTAAAAGTAGAATTAAAAAGGAAACATCTATAAAGAGATTACCAGGCTCAAGCTTTCCTCCCATGACTGGCTTATCTGCATTGCTGTTTGCACTTCCCTAGAATACAAAAAATCCCATCAGTAGCTACAAAGAGGATAACTCCGGCTATTTTATCATCTTGTTTCAATAACACTCACCTCTCATGTGCTGTTTCTCTGTTCATTAAATCCACTCCTTCCTCCTGCAGGAGATAAATGTCATAAGTCTTCCCATAACATTCGATTTATCACAGGTGCTCGGGATAACTTTCATGATTGCATAATTTGCCATTAAGAATTGAAATATGAATAGCAGGAGCACTCCAGAAAGGACTGCCACCAGGCCAGCTCACCGTGTTTCTTGAACGAACACAAGGTGGTTTAAACATGACAACAATAATTTTAACAAGGAAGAGTCCTTCAAGGGGTAAGTCTCCAAAAAGACTCCGTTTCCTCTAGCACTTGAAAAACTCAATAGGAAAGAAACTCCCATTACCTACATACTTCAATGTTATATAATACTTTTCACGCTCTTACTAAATACACAGATAAAAATTACACTTACCCTTCTGATCTGATGAAGTCGGCTACTAGGAATACGAATAGGAGATGATGACAACAACTGAAAAAACAAAGGTGACAGCCACAGTGATTAAATCACACATCAACAGCTCGCATACATCCTATTTACCACCACCTGCGTTCTTAGTGAATTAAAAATGAGCTGTACAACTACATAGGGATGACTCAAATAATGCTGCAAAAAGAAAACGCTGGCCTCCGAGAGAAAAGACTTGTTTCACCACTTACGAATTCATTCTGTCAGTCGGCAAGTGGCACAGATCTCAGACTTGCAAGCAGATTGTGCTCAGCATCTCAGATACATGAGTAGCTCTACGCGCCGTTTAGAGAAGTGAGGTATTATAAATGAAACTATGAAGGTGATACAATTCCCTACTGCCTTGGGTAAGACAACAAACTCCTGCATTAACTTACTCAGCCAGCTGGCTATTAAAAACAGAGAAATCTCAATGTTTCAGCTCAGTCTTGAACACCACTCTCTAAAACTTTACTGATGCAATTTTTCATTTGCATACAATTTTACACACCAAATTCCTCTGGAACTTTGGCTACCAGCACATACAAATGGGTCACCAGTTCACACTCAGGATGCCCACATGTCTACCACAACACCTATTGATTTGAGTCCCAAAAATTTGGATTCTTCTTTTTAAGAAATCTCCTAACAGAAGATTTTGAACTAAAATGCCATCTTGCTTTTTCTGAACAGAAGAAACATATTTCAGAACTTTAAGTTCCATGGTTTTTGAACTTAATATCCTCAGATGAGAAAGAAAAACTCTAGTGGAAAAGAGTATATAGATCTTCAAGCTGACAAGGAAATGGGGGAAAAAAAGAAATTTAACATCTTTGAAAAGTTAAATAACTGCAGTACTGTACACTACCAGACATATACAATAGTGGGCAAAATGTCACCCAGCAAATAAATTACTCTTCTTTAAATGATTTTCCGACGTCATGTTCAGCATTTGCAAAAGAAGATCAGCTCCATTAAAAAAAAAAAACAGGCCGAAAAAGACTTGTGACACTCTCTTTCTTTTTACAAAAATTAAAAGAGCCTTTCATGACTTAATAGTGACAGCAGTTTTCTTTTCCAACCCACATAGGTCCAAATGAGACCGTACTTAATGCTGGGAATCACACACAGCCTCACCTACTGTTGTCTTCTTGAGGACATAAAATTAATACACCAGTATTATTTCATTGTAGGTTGCAGTTACGGAGGATGGGGGGGAGGGGAGGAAAATATGCCTATTCTGCAGCCTGGGAGCTTGCTAGGATGCTTGGTGCAAACACAAATCAAATCTAACTTCGTTTCTGCAGCCCAATTACTTCTCTTAGGTGTAAACAAAAAATGCTTAAGATTCCTTACCATACTGTGACGGCTCATAACTGTTGTACTGTTCCTGCGAGTTCGCAACACGTAAGGTTGAAAAACCTGCGAGTTGTCACTGGGGGGG